AAACAAACTGTGAATAAAAACTGAATGCAATGATGTGGAGATGGCAAATGCCAATATTTTATTCGTAATATAACATAGAGGACAGATCAAAAGTTTAATCTGAGTAAACGTAACATTTTAAAGAAAAAATATGTTGGTTCAAAATTTCAGTGTCAACAAATCCCAAAAAAGTTGGGACAAGTAGCAAGAAGTGGCTGGAAAAAGTAACGAACAGCTGGAAGACCAATTAACACTAATTAGGTCAATTGACAACATGATTGGGTATAAAATGAGCTTCTCAGAGTGTCAGTGTCTCTCAGAAGCCAAGATGGTACGAGGATCACCAATTCCACCATTGGTGCGCAGAAAGATAGTGCAACAATACCAGAATGGTGTTACCCAGCGTAAAATAGCAAACTTTTAAGTTATCATCATCAACCGTGCATAACATCATCAAAAGATTCAGAAAATCTGGAACAATCACTGTGCGTAAGGGTCAAGGCTGTAAAACTCTACTGGGTGCTCGTGATCTCCCTTAAACGTCACTGCACCTCAAACAGGAATACCACTGTCAAGGAAATAACAGAATGGGCTCAAGAATACTTCCAGAGAGCATTGTCATTGAACACAATCCACCGTGCCATCCGCCGTTGCCAGCTGAAACTCTACAGTGCGAAGAGGAAGCCATTTCTAAGCAAGCTCCACAAGCTCAGACGTTTGCACTGGGCCAGGGGTCATTTAAAATGGAGTGTGGCAAAATGGAAGACTGTTCTGTGGTCAGATGAGTCACGATTTGAAGTTCTTTATGGAACACTGGGACGCCATGTCATCCAGACCAGAGAGGACAAGGATAGCCCAAGTTGTTATCAACACTCCGTTCAGAAGCCTGCATCACTGATGGTATGGGGTTGCATGAGCGCTTGTGGCATGGGCAGCTTGCATGTCTGGAAAGGCACCATTAATACATAGAACTATGTTCAGGTTCTAGAACAACATATGCTCCCATCTAGACGTCATCTCTTTCAGGGAAGACCCTGCATTTTTCAACACGATAATGCCAGACCACATTCTGCAGCAATCACAACCTCATGGCTACGTAGGAGAAGGATCCGGGTACTGAAATGGCCAGCCTGCAGTCCAGATCTTTCACCTATAGAGAACATTTGGTGCATCATAAAGAGGAAGGTGCGACAAAGAAGGCCCAAGACGATTGAACAGTTAGAGGCCTGTATTAGACATGAATGGGAGAGCATTCCTATTTCTAAACTTGAGAAACTGATCTCCTCTGTCCCCAGACGTCTGTTGAGTGTTGTAAGAAGAAGTGGGGATGCCACACAGTGGTAAAAATGAACTTGTCCCAACTTTTTTGAGATTTGTTGACACCATGAAATTTGGAAACAACAGCTTTTCCCTTAAAATGATACATTCTCTGTTTAAACTTTTGATCTGTGATTTGTGTTCTACTCTGAATAAAATATTAGATGTTGGCACCTCCACATCATTGCATTCAGTTTTTATTCACAATTTGTGTAGTGTCCCAACTTTTTTGGAATCCGGTTTGTAACTTGTATAACATTTGAACTTGATTTCAGACCTTGATGCATATGTATATCAAGTTTTGTTAACTTATCTGGATCGGCTCAGATGGTATGGCCCGAATAAGCAAAGACCTTGTTTAAACATTGACCTTGATTTGTGACCTTGAACTTATAGTTAGGGTGGCATGGTGGCACAGTGCTGTTGCTTCTCAGCAAGAAGGTCGCCGGTTCAAATCCCGGCCCGGGACCTTTCTGGGTGGCGTTTGCATGTTCTCTCCGTGCATGCGTGGGTTTTCTCCAAGTACTCCGGTTTCCTCCCACAGACCAAAAACATGCATGTTAGGCTGATTGATAACTCTAAATTGTCCCTAGGTGTGAGTGAGAGTGTGAATGGCTGTTTGTCTCGTTTGTCTCTATGTGTCCCTGTGATGGACTGGAAACCTGTCCACGTGTCCTTTGCCTCCCTCACAGCTATCTTGAGCGGATCAGAGGTTATAGTCCAGACAAGCAGGACCTTGTATAATGTATAATATTTGACCTTGATTTGTGACCCTGACCTTGAAGTTATGGGCCAGACAAGAGAACGTTTATGAATGTACGTACTGAGACTATATCACAATACGTCCCGCCTTCGACAGGTGTACAAAAACAGATGTGTACTAAAAATATTTTGTTGATTTTTAGAGCTTTACTTTGTTTATTAGATCCATTTTGGCATAATAAAAGTAAAGTAAAAACTCAACCTAGTTGTAAAGCTATGAACAATCCCATCTGGGAGCTATAATTAAGTGGTAATGGTTTGCAGCTTGACACGAAGACCTTATTTACTTTACCCAAAAGAGTTTGTTTTATGCTGTTCATTATCATCCACCACAGCTGGAGAAGCCTTCCTGCTCTACACTTCTGATGACAAACAAAAAAAAATAAAGAAAAAAAGGCTGTAGAGGATGATTACACACACAAAACAAAATGCAAAGTTTGACAGACACAAGTGCCAGGATGATGTTTGGCCAATAAAGGTGTCATCACCCAGAGCTCACTCATTTGTGTACCTGAGCTCTAACACACACATCGCATGAATCTACAGGGGGCCGGATTTGTTGTCCATGTTGCAGCACCGGCAGCAGTAAATCTCAACGACACAGCAGATTAGATTGTGGGCTCTCTCAGGTTTTATTCATAAATCTTTCCAAAAACGAAAGGAGAAAATGTCCTCAAATGTTTCACAGAAATAAGGAAAGACAAAACAATACCTTGTAGATGTAGTTCCTCCTTTCAACATGACCATTAGGATCATAATGAAAAGCTGTTGGAATGGTATTGACAATAGAGCCCATTCCTAAATTCTCTAATCTTAAGAAAAGGTATAAGGGAGGTGCATATTAAGAAATAGCTAAGAGTGTAAGCTTCATTTAAGCAAACATTTTGCGATTTACCTGGGTTGTGAGGCTGGAGATGTCGATAACAGTGACAGAGTTCCCACAGCTTGCCCACACCGATTCATCCAGAACCAGCAAAATACAAACTGGTTCTGATCCCAGGCTTACACGACTGCAGGAGTCAGGGTTCCAAAGATCATCTGTGAAAACAGAAAATACATTCAGACTTTGACTATTACAATTCAAAGATGAAAATAAATGTTCAAAAAAGACGGGACCACACAATCAACGGCTCAGAAAGAACTCTGGAACAGATGTAAGAACATGTGGTAAACTATCCCATTGAGCGAGACAAAAATACTCAGTTTCTTCTACTAGTAGCACAGGAAGTTCATTTATTATTGAAATAAAATGTTCAACTTTGTCCAGCTGAAGCATCGGGGAAAACATACCAGCAGAGGCTTTTCTTTTAAATCTCTGCTAAACAAAATACAAGATGGAACAAAATACTGCTTGACTAAAATAACCAAACACTCTAAAGCACCACACACTGCGCAAGACAGCATTTACACTCTCACCGCCCACACTAATAAGTCTGGAGTACACTTTAATGCTACATTACTACTGTTTTATCATCAGTTCCATTTCCAGTTTGGAAAAATAAAGCTAAAAAACGTCCGTTCTCAATGTCATCTCTGACTGTTTTGCTTCGCTAGTATGAAAACAAGCAGAATGCTGATGTCTCCCATCACTGAGGGATTTGAACAGTGAATGTTTGTAGTTTTCGGGGTGAGTGTTTTTCCAGACTGGAACGGAAAAGGGAATGCACATAAACCTTAATGTTTTTGGTGCAAGATATTCAAGTGCCTAGGAGTTACTCTGTGTATAAGAAGAGGGGTTTTGTTTTGTCTCGTTTTTTTCCGAGACAGCGCAGAGTGACTGATCCTGGCAAGTGCAGGGAGCAACTCTATTCACCACTAGGCACAATGACAGAGCCAGGGGGTGGCCAATGGTGGCCTTAGCCACCATAGATTAATCTTCGGTCACCCCGAGGGCCACCTCAATAATTTGACTATACTTATAACTAGACTTTGAAGAAATATAAAAACTAGAAAGCATAGTTTCTTAAATTGATAGAGGTTGTCAGTTTAAATACAAATATGGCGGTGGTGGCCATCTTGAATTTACCATACCATACCATTTTATTTATAGAGCACTTACAGCGACAAGGCTAACCAAAGTGCTGTACAGGCAGAACAGCAGGCAACACACAAAGCAATATACAAAATGAAGTAAATCAGAATATAGACATAAAAACGATGCAGATAATAAATATGACGACAAACCAGTGTGGAGCGTACAGGTTCAAAACACAGATCCTCTGGTGTTGAATGCTACTGAATAGTAGTGGGTTTTTAAACGGGATTTGAAAACCGAGAGGGAGGGGGCCTGTCTGACAATCAGAGGTAACTCATTCCAAAGTCTTGGTCCTGCTACAGAGAAGGCCCTGTCACCTCTGCGCTTAAGACGAGTTCCTGGAACTGTGAGGAGCAACTGGTCCACTGACCTCAGGGAACGTGGAGGGACATACGGTTGTAGCAAATCAGAGAGATGGGGGGGGGGGGGGGGGATGTGACACTGTTCAGTGATTTGTAGACATACAGGAGTATTTTGAACTGGATTCGAAGGTGAACCGGTAGCCAGTGCAGTGAGGCCAAAACTGGTGTAATGTGCTCTCTTTTGCCTGTACTGGTTAAAAATCGGGCTGCTGCATTCTGGACCAGTTGTAGTCATGCAATGGAGGTCTGACTTATACCAAACAGGAGCGAATTGCTGTAATCAAGCCTAGATGCAATGAATGCATGTATTACTGTCTCCAGGTTCTTTTTGGACAATATGGGCTTCAGTTTAGACAGCTGCCTCAGTTGGAAAAAACATGATTTAACAATCATGTTTACATGATTGCTAAGTCTCAGGGAAGGGTCCATTATCATGCCCAGATTAGTGACTCTTTGTTTTTCTGATAGGGATAGAGTGGAGAGGTCAATGCAGTGGTTTGTGGAATTTGGACTTGGCAACCCAGTTTTTGACTTTGACCTTTTATTACTCCTGGATGCAGCCACACACCAAAATGGAAGTTGGAAATGTTAACCAGCTCAAAAGGTTAACATATATACTTACATGGTGGCAGCCATCTTGGATTTTTATATGGCAATCCAATTTTCGAAAGGTACTTTTCTTATGTCTAGATATTGCCATACACCAAAACGTAAGCCGATACCACATGTATTCTTTCTAGTTATAGTGCTCACAACATGCATGGATGGACAGACAAACAGACGATGGAGGCTATTTCCAATTCCCCTTCTTCACTTCATGACACGAGACAATAGAGCAGACTCTGCAGCTTTGAATTTAATTCACGGGGACGTACGTTGCAGGGGCCACAATGGCATATTTTAAAGGGAATTTCATAGGACTTTCTTTAGCTGTGCATTAATGAAGTAAAAGTTAAAGAAAGGGATCATTCAGCCATTTAATTAACATTTTGAGTTGTTTATTTCTGCCTTTCATAGAAGAATAGCTTTACAATACCTTCTGACTTCCACAGGTTAATTGTTTGGCATGTTCTAAAGGTCATTTTTCCACCTTTTCAAAATTAACTCCTGTAAATGTCCACATGTTCCCTTATGCTAACTAAGGCCATGACTATGCTTCATTTTTTCCCCAACAAGCCTGTCACAGGGAACCAAACGTCTCCACCTCATCTTGAGTAGTATTTTCACTGCAAGCCGACATGAAGTTTGACGTGAATGTCTCAGTGAGGAAAAGTGAGGAAAGTTAGAGCAAATCCACCGCTGACAAACAATAAAATGCATATATGATTTTTTTTTTTTTACACAAGTCTCAGGTGTAACCTTGGTGTTTCCAAACTTATTTTTATGACACTACTACGCTCCACAAGGGCATGAATCGTCAACAGATGTGCCAAATGCACAAATATTCCCCTGACACCTTCTGGAGCTTTTCTCCAGTCCTTTTTTTTTTTTTTAACATATATCTATAAAGCAAGAACAGTAATATTTAATCAGCATGCAGCAGGTTGGTGTAATTAATCATTCTCTCTGCTTGGAAGGAGAAGGGAACACAGGAGGCAGGCAGGCACGCTGACATACTTTGGCCAGGTAAAAGGAACCCACTGATAGAGCTATTGTGCTCCCGCTGGCTGTGAAGACTGCAACCTCTGCTGAGATGGTGTTAAGCTCCATTGGTCTTGTGCAATGCCTGACTAAACATGGCATGCCATCGACCACATGGTGAAGTGCTATGTTCTTATTTACAGCAGGTGTGAAAAATAACTGAAAATGGGAAAAATAAAATATAGGCTTGCAAAGAAAGTGATTCTCAAGTGAACATTTTGTCAACTAAATCATAAAGTATTCATTCTGGAAATTAGATTTCCGAAGTAGGGATGCATGATATTGGATTTTTGGCCGATGTCCGATATGTTAAAACTTATTTGGCCGTTACCAATACTGATATTTTTTTCCTAGACCTACTTAAAGAGACTACATAGCTTTCTCTGCTGTGGAATTAAAACGCTACATTACTCTGTATGGTCTTTCTCAAGTAGGCCGATTATCAAATGCCAGATGCCAAAAAGGGGGCTGAAGATGATGTAACACTTTAACTTGGATTTTGTTTAATGTCAAATTTATTCATGACATTTACTATCTCTAACACAGCAACAAAACTCGAACAGTCATACAAAAACTGTGCCATATATAATAATAATATATAAACAGCACCTTTTATATCAGTGAGTTATTTTGATGGAATGGCCAATGTCCGATTTTTAACTTTATTGCTAATATCGGCCAATATCAATACCATGCCGATAATATTGTGCATCCCTATTCCGAAGGGGAAAAAAAAACACATAGCGTGCACGGCACAATTATTTAAAAGTCAAATGCATTAAACAATAATTAGAATGCAACAAGATGTTTGCAGAAATGTAAAGCAACAAATCACAAAACATTTGTGCTCATTAATTCAAGGTGGAAAACAGTTTTTATGTACACAAACGTTTGGAACAATTAGGACTTTGTCACCAAACTCGACAGAAATGGCAAAGACGAAATGCTGGATGATCTCCTGTCAGTAAATACTCCTTGCAAAGTATTCCATGTGTACATGGTTTTAAAATGCTTTCTGACTGTGTGACTTGGTGACACTGGCTTAAAAGCCACACTCATGAAGACAGTTAGATTTGTAAGTGCTGCAACATTTAAGCTGCAATACAAGTGACCGTTTTCATTTAAAACAAATGTCTAACTATTGGTATAAGCCTGTAAGAGAAACAGGTGGTAGAATAACCTTGAGCAAAAATACCACAGTTTCGCAATGCAGTTCGTTTATGGCGGACTTGCTCTATCGCGGTTTTTCAAAATAAAATTGGATATGACACACAACTTGCTGATTGATGGATGAGCCACACAATCGGCATGGAATTTTTATTTAAAATATATATATTTTTTAATTATTTAGCACCTGCTGCACCTTTGTGCAGACCAAACTTCAGGATAAACTTTGTGCCGAAGAAGTGGGCATGGCCAAGAGCGCTCGCAGGTGGCAGAGATCAGCTGAGGCAGAGAGCTAAATCATGACCTTCTGTGCTCTTTTAGAGCGTTTAGAATATATATAATAAAATTAACTACTACTTACTACTTGTACTACTATTCTTACTTCAGGGTTTTTCACTTATCGTGGGTCTGCAGGGTACGGATCCCCCACAGTAAACAAGAGACTACTGTATTACAGTATTAGAAAGAAAAAAAACCCTCATCAGTGATTTATTATTTATTTATATATTTTTTTGTTCTTTCGGCTGCTCCCTTCTTCAGGGGTCACCACAGTGAACTAACTCACATGAAGACTTGGTAATTATTTTTATGCCAGATGCCCTTCCTGACGTAACCACAGACCACTGAGCTACCACAGCCCTCTGTGTGGAGCAGAGCTGCCATCTAGCGCATGCAGGGGAGAAGATGGTGGAGGTTAAGGGCCTTGCTCAAAGGCCCAGAATGGGGCAAATGAGAGTGAAGACAGGTGTGAGTGCTTCACATTTCCAACCTGCATTTTGATGTTGTCGGTCTGGGAAGTTGAACCAGCAACCTTCTGATGACAGGCCCACCTTCTCTAACCTCTGTTCCACCACAACCCGTCTTATCGGGACCCTGTGTACACAATTTAGTTCCACCTCACGTACCACATGTGGTGCGAATGACATTAAAGAACCTTGACTTGACTTATCACATGATTTATTTACTTTTTTTTTTTTATGCAACAATTATTACTTTTGCAACAAAAAATAAGACCACACGCTGAAGAGAAGGAACGGCTCCCCAACACATTGTCACTAAACCAAAAGCCGTAAGTGTAGAAACAGAACAAGCTCAAGGGAACCTCACCACTGTCATTTCTTCCATAAACCATCACCATCCCATTCTGCAGGCCCGCAAAGAGGAAGCGAGAGGAGTGCTTGAGGCACAGCACAGGGCAGCCCTCTGGGTTTTGGAGGGTCAGCAGGCATTGCGCTGCGGTGTCAACACTCCCATAGACCAGGATGCTGGAAGAACATGAGGAGCACAAGCCAACATGATGAATGAGTGTCATTCGAAACGACAGAGTGCTTCGTTTCCATACAGTTTGATTTAACAGTGCATACATGGAGCCACTATGGCTTGTGCGTGTTTGAATGACAAACTGAACTTTGCTGCATCTTATCGTCTTCTTCAGAATGACAAATGCACATTGGTGTTTGTTCCTCTGCCAAAAGAAAACGTTCAGCTGACATGTGTTCGAATGATCTAAAACGCTGAATTATTTTTCCCTTTCTTTTTATTTTGCCGTGTGCATTTTTTAAATTATTTTTCCCAGGACAGTCACTTTTACTTGAAGATAATGTGTCAGCAAACACAGACGTTTAATTTTGGTAACTTCAAAAAATATCACTACAGTTAATTAAAATTGCAGAAAATGGTAATGTACGGTGCAAATCTTATCTGAGAGAGAAAAAATATATTCACTGTGACTGTGACATGAGACTGAGATTAAATCTCTCCTCTAAACCTTTTGATCCCCATTGTGTGGGAATCAAAAGGTTTATTGGATTTAAAAATGAAACTGATCTCAGCACAAGTAGCAGTATTGATGCTTTTGCTGTGATATCAACTCAGACTTCTTGTTTTGATGAAATATTGACAAGCAAATCTGTGCGGCTGGAAGTCTCAGAGGAGCACGACCAAAGATAATACTGGGTATTATTTTACAGCAGGAGATACAGGGTATACTGAAAAGCGTTTTGTCCTTATTGTTAAAGACAAGTCTCACCGGCCATCTTCCAATCCGACACAAATGTTGGTACTGATCCCTGAGGCAGCCTTCTGCATTCCCGTCTCCTCTGCCGGTGAAGGTGCTGGTGCATACTCCAGACATCGGACAGGTGAGTCCACCTGCAGGCTTTTCACATACCTTGGGGTGGGTCTGTTGAGGGAAAATATCTCTATGTGGCCTTGAGAGCCTTCGCCTCCACCAGCAACCTGTAGGAAACAGAAAACTTCATTAAAAAAAATAAATAAAAAAACAAATCCCCTTATGTTAAGCTGTGCTGATGGACTGATCCTGACATCAAAAATAGGCTATACTGCTGAAAATCGAAAAAAAACGATCCACAACGGCAGCGATCAAAACCAGGTAAGTCTTTCCGAGATCATCTTAAAATTATATTTTCATTGTCATAATCAAACTGTGAAGGTCAGAGGATAAGGTCTCCTCTGTTGGACATTTTCTGCACATCATCAACTTAAGTTTAAAGAAAGATTTGGATCACTGATCCGAGCAGATCTTGTCATTTCTTATCCGCACTCCCTTTCTTGTGGCACCCCTTTTAAACCACATTATGTAATAAATTCGCCAAGTGATCTTTAGAAGATCAAACAGTTATTAAAATGGCGGCAATCGTTTCATCGCTGAAGAACAGAGACTCGTCTAAGTTGCTGAAAGGCTTTGAGCCGCCTGACAATGAGGAAGTTCCTCAACGCTTTTAAGACCGAGTGATCTATTGTTGCAAATGATGAAAAAAATTACTATGAAATCGTTTTCAATTAATCCAACTGACTTATAAAAGTAACATATGCAAGGTCACACTGAACACTTCAAGGCCCTGCTCTCAGTGCTAATGAAGAAGCACAGATGAGTATTAAAGCAGAGCTGTTGACAGCTGGGAGTGCTCACTGGCTTAGGCTGGAGACGGCTTCTCCCAATCAATGCCGAAGGATGCCTTTGCTGAATTTTTCCAAAAGAAAACAGGCAGTGAAAATGCATTCCTACTAAAGAAGAAAACAATCTTAGATGTTCACAAAAAAGTTCGACCAATCATAAGCACCCCATGGTGATGCACAGGCTGTGTCTGCCCCGTATAGAGGCTTGACTTCCCATGTGCCACAGCTATAGGGTCCAAAGCTGCAGCATGCTTTGTTTAAACCTATCTGTGCTAACGTTGAGTGAAATAAAAAAGCAGGAGCCATCCAACCTTCCTCTGATGAAACCCCAATAAAGGTGGCATTGCTTTCATTGGCAAACAGTTAATGTGTTGCTGTCGGTTTTCAATATGATTTAAATCATTACGCCTGCAGGAGACCTGTGTCAGTATTCAGATAAAATGTTATGTCTTTTCAGGAAAAAATAAAATAAAAGACACAGTGGCTTGCTGCAAAAACGGCAACAAAAAATGTCTCTGTATAAACCATGTTGTGCGATTGTGAGATGAGCTAAATATAGTCTTTAGCTTCTCTCCTCGACACTCACCCTTATTTGCATGCAATCATTTGTTTGATTTGTATCAGCACACTAAATCTGGACAGAAGCAATCCTTTGGGCTCTTGAGAATGAGCCAGAACAAATAATGGTTTGATACACATGGTGAAAAGAAGATAGGGGGCACTTATCTAGCAGCAAGGGGGCCTCCAATAAAAGCGTACCTTTCAAGTGACAGAGGTACAAGAGCCAGAGGCAGGACCCACTTACCCAGACTCCTTCACAATTTTTACATTCACTTCACAGTGGTCACTATCCCATGTCAACAGAATTCTCTGACTTCTTCATAACTATTTAAAATAGTGCCCAGACAAAGTGTGACATTTACTTAAAGGAATAGAACAATTTGCCTGTGAAAATTAAAACCCTTATAAACAAATGAAACGGAAATCTGGAGTGGCAGAGAAGTATGTTAGACTGGTGCAGGACATGTACGAGGACAGCAGGACAGTGGTGAGATGTGCTGTAGGAGTGACAGATAGTTTCAAGGTGGAGGTGGGAGTGCATCAAGGATCGGCTCTGAGCCCCTTCTTGTTTGCTCTGGTGATGGACCGACTAACAGATGAGGTCAGGCAGGAATCCCCGTGGACTATGATGTTTGCAGATGACATTGTGATCTCTGGTGAGAACAGGGAACAGGTGGAAGAGAACTCGGAGAGGTGGAGGTATGCACTTGAAAGAAGAGGAATGAAAGTCAGCCATAGTAAGACAGAGTACATGTGTGTGAACGAGAGGGAGGAACAGTGAGGCTACAAGGAGCAGAGATCATAAAGATGCAGAACTTCAAGGACTTGGGGTCAGTTGTCCAGGAAAATGAGGAGTGTGGTAAAGAGGAGAAAAGGAGAATCCTGGCAGGATGGAGTGGATGGAGAAAAGATTCAGGAGTGATTTGCGACAAAAGGGTCTCAGTAAAGGTCAAAGGAAAGGTTTACAAGACAGTTGTGTATGTCGTATGGTCTGGAGACAGAGACATGGACAAAAAGACAGGAGAAAGAACTGGAAGTGGCAGAAATGAAGATGTTGAGGTTCTCCTTAGGAGTGACAAGGATGGACAAGATTGGGAATAAGATCATCAGAGGTACAGAACAGGTTGAAGAACTGGGAGATAAAGTTAGGGAGGCCAGACTGAGATGGTTTGGACATGTCCAGAGGAGGGACAGTGGTTTGGACATGTCCAGAGGAGGGACAATAGGTATATTGGTAGAAGGATGTTAGAAATCCAGCTGCCAGGAAAAAGATAAAGAGGAGATACATGGAAGCAGTTAGAAAGGACATGGAGGTAGTTGGAGTGAGGACAGAGTGAGATGGAGGAGGATGACTCGCTGTGGAGACCCCTGAAGAGGGAAAATGTGACAGAAGAAGAAGAAAAAGATAAACAATAAAACCACTGACATGCATTCTGCTTGTTTGTGCTCCCAAAATTCAATGTAATTTAAATTATTCTTTCAGTGAAATGGATACATTTTTATTATTCTTACTGTGGACACTTAAATGCTTTAGTGCTAAATGCCACAAATAGAGAAGCTCATGAGCAAAACAGCAAGATTTGACAAATGTTTCACAAATTAGGAGCAGGAAATAAAGAAAAGTGGGACAAGGAAGGTGGAGGCAGCCAGGAAAACAGTGCAGTATCAAGCTGATTAGACACAATGTCATTACTCTGATCAAAGCGTGCAGAAATCCCTATAGCCCATCTCACTTTAATATGATTAGTGTCATTCCTTATTTGACAAGCCTGCCAGGGAGGTAGAACCAACTGGAGGAGGGAAAGCTCAGCTGCTAATTATTCATACTGGAACCACAGGCCTTCACAATCATTATGATTATAATTATAATAATTATTGTTGTTAATAACACTGAATTTAATTCTCGAGGAAAACATTTTTTTCCGTCTTTGTTTTTCTTTTTTCATTTCTTGGTTACATATACTGTTTAGTGTCTCTCAATAATTGGTGGGGTAAGGCCAGTGGTTTTCAGTCCAAAAAAGATCTGCTTGTATTGTTTGCATGGTTGGTTTTCAGCGCTTTTGGAGTTAGCAGAAATGCACCGCACATTAAATTCACTCTAGAGATTTTAGTTTTAACAACAAAGACCTCCAAGATGACTTTTTTTAAGACTTCCGTTTAAAATGCTTTCATCGTAAAGGAGCTACAGCCCACAGGTCTCCACGGGGAGACGTCTCCAGATTACCGAGCAGCAAAGGCTTCCAACCGTAATTTGGAAAAATCATCTGTCTCTGCCAATAAACACAATTATAATTCAATCAAAAGATGCAGACTCACTGAGCAATGTACAATTTTAATACCCCCCCCCCCCCAACATACATACTTACTTACATCCTCATCCAAACTCAGCATTTTTTAAAAGATAAACTATTGTTTTCCTTCAAAAACTATAATTTGGACTAAAAAAAGGATTTGCAAACTCCTTATTTGACTTGGCACATATTTCACTCATAAGTTTAAAAACAACTCTATTCAAGTAAACTCTCAGAACAATTCAAAATATGTAATATAGAGTAAGCTATTGTTTAGGGGGAGTAGTGGCTCAAAGGTTAAAGGTGGGCCTGTGATCGGAGAGTCGTCGGTTCAACTCCACGGACCAACATCAAAATGTGGGATGGAAAGTTGAAACACCCACACCTGCCTCCCACTTCATTTGCCCCACTCTGGGCCCTTTGAGCAAGGCTCTTAACCCCCACCATCTGCTCCACACAGAGGGCTGTGGTAGCTCGGTGGTCAGTGGTTGCGTCGGGAACAGCATCCGGCGTAAAAACAATTGCCAAGTCTTTGTGCGAGTTAGTTCACTGTGGCGACCCCTCAAGAAGTGAACAGCCATAAAAAAAATAAGCTACTACTTGTCTGAAACTTTAATTTAAAATAAAAACCTTAAAATAATCCATTTCAAGTTGTTTTCGTAAAATATGACCTAAAAACACAACCTTGACCTAAACATCATCATCCACTTTCTGAAGTCACATGTGTATCATTAAAGACCAACACCCATGTCGTCTTACTACACATCCAGTGAAATATGATAGAGACAAAACCAATACATACTTTTGTGGCAAACTTTGAAAACAAATGCAAACTGCTTTGGTAATTTCAAGCCGTTTCAGTTGTGGCTTTGGAAACGGCCTCTTCCCTTCCATATGCAGTGCAATGTCATGCCAGGGATATGGTCATGCAAGACCACAAGGTTTCTATTGTAAAGGCCAGAGACAGCTGCAAAGATGGGCAGTCTCATGAAGAAAACACTCCCATCCCCATCTGTTCTCACCCCCATCCACATCAAACAAACAAACAACCCCCCACCTCCTTTATGACTGAGACCCAAAGTTATTTGTAATCTGTAAAAAATCTACAGGAAGAAAAAGAAATGTTTGGCGTTAATAGAGACAGCAAGAGCAGGAGTGAATAATGAGATTTGAGAAACGTTATATTTATCAAGTTTGGATCTTATAGTTTGGGTATAGTGTAGTGTATTTAGTGTGTTTCAGTCAAAATGAGGCGATTTTTGAACGTGAAGCTTCAGCTTCTTTTTGAGGTGGAGGATGGAGCCGGAGAGCCAGAAATAGATAAAATTGTTGCATCAGAACCTTCTCAAACAGAAACAAGCAGAAAGAAAAAAGAAAAGAGTCTGAGACAAAGAACTCTGATGAGGAAACGGGAGATCCATTATTTGTTTTAGAAGAGGATAAAGCGGAAGAGCGCACCAAGCGCCACACTGCTGCCTTTGCCCAATCCCTGGTGTGAAGTCATCGGCTGCGTGCTCGGGTGTTTGCAACTGTTACCGGTAGTAGCTGTCCAAAGAGATGGTCCGTGGAAAGAAACAGAAAGCTTTTAGAATCAGTACCTTGGTCCAATCTTTCCGATTTCTAACCTGATTTAACAGGATAACTCCGTCTGATGGTAGAAAGGAACAGATCTCGGGGTTCGTAGGTCATCTGTAATGATGTGTTTTTAAGGATCTCAAAGGACAAAGCTCCCTAAAATGCTGATAGCGCAAGATAACAGGAAGCACCTTTTATACAAAAAAATGTTGCTTAGAAACAATGGTGGGCACAGCTAAAGTTAGCTTTGCTAACCCATAATCTGTTAGCTAAAAAAAATTTGCGTTGCAAACGTTAATAGAATTGCGCCGCTCAAGGTGTCTGCATGTTGGAGCAGCTCTGTTACTTTCATTCTGAGATTTTGCTTTTGGAAACTTTAATTCCTCTTTTTTCTGAATGTAAATCACATTTTTTGGATGATTGTTTCCTCTGGTATCGGGTGCTGTGCAGCTGGAAGGATTTTTACTGAAACTTTTTTTAGTTTAGGACATTTGTTATGATGCGTAACCATGGCAACAAGGCAGTTTCTACAACCAACAGCAGCTGATTAACATCTCAAAAGCTCGAGTAATATCTCAACTACAGCCCTAAATTTCAAATGAGTTGAAAAGGATGTTCTGTGGACGCATTTTCATCTACCTGCCAGCTGTGCTCGAGTGCCTGACCACTGAGATCCTGGAACTAGCAGGAAACACGGCTCATGACAGCGGAAGGACAGGATCGTCCATCAGCACCTACAGTTGGCTGTCCGCAGCGATGAGGAGCTCAACAAGCTGCTGGGAGGAGTGGCCATTGCCCTGGGAGGATTTCTGCCCAACATTCAGGTGATCCTGAAGCCCAGGAGGCCAACCAAGTGCAAGTAAACAGATCAACATCTGTGGCCAGTTTTTTCAGATCTGCTATAAGACGGACCATCACAAGAGATCCTTCCCGCCCACAACCATCAACATCTAGAACAACTCTTTTATGAAACAAGGAAAATGAGCTACAACAACATTTAATTTCCCTCTGGGATTAATAAAGTATTTTTGAATTGAATTGAATTGAATTTAACCACTAAACAGGTAAAAAATTAGCAGAAGCTAATGATAATGACCCAAGCTGCATCACGTCTTTGTCTGCTTCCAGTTGAAGACTGGTGGGACTGGTGCAAACCTGTTGATATTAGTTTGATTATTTTGCTAATGCTTTTCAGCTCGCTGCTGTTGCATCGACCAATCACATCTTGACACGTGTACAGGTACTCAAGAAATAGCATGCCTAACGGACTCATCAAGACACACCCACAACAGAAAGGAATAAACATATGAATTTAGTTAGTGTCCTTAAAGTTAGCAGAACCTAATTTAACAGAGCTAATTGGTCCGCTAACAGTATCCAAAGTTAGCAAAAATGCTAATCAGCTAAATGAAAATTTAGCTTCGCTATTAGCCATTAGCGGATTAGCGGAGCCGTGCCGACCACTGCTTAAAAAACATAACTGCTAAACAATTCTTATAAGAAAGACCTAAAGTGAAAATGAAATCATCTATGAGTGAGAATATTAAACATATTAAACAAGAACTCTAAATCAGAAAATTCTCTACAAATCAAAAATGAAAATAACTTCAAATTAAAAACAAATAAAACAGAATGCTAAAATGGGCTAATAACGTCATTTGGAACAGCATCAAGTCTTCAACTCAGAGCTGTACACTCAGCGCTGCAGGTACTTTTGATGCAGCCACGCTTAGGTAAAAAGTATATTTAATAAATATATATATATATATATTTAGCCTCACCAAACGGTGGAAGAACAACATTTGAATTTTTCAGACTGATAGCAAGTTTTCTGCAGCATATAGTTTTTTTTTCTTTGTTTTACTCAGAATGTCTATGTGTTTTTGAACTTAGCTGAATTTCTACAAGTGCAGAAATAGTGAGGCAGCACAAATTAACCTGTTCATAAATTATGCATTGTTGTTGTTTACTACTGGCCCTTATACTTCCAGGAGACATTTTACAATTAAAACAAGGTTGCAGATTTTTTATTTATTTATTCTTTAGCCTCCTTAATGGGAGGATGTTAGAATAGTAGCGATAACTGTGTTCAAAGCTAAAACATATTCTCAAAATAAAAACCTCTGTCTTTTGGTTTGCTCTGCATGGATGACAGCGACTGGAAAGTGTGTTTGCATGTAACTTACCCAGAGGTAGCCTTGAGGTAAGGAAGTGATTGCTGTAGAGAAGCCCAACAGTGAACAGTGAACAGGATTGTGGAGGGCAGTTTCAAGCTACAAGAAAGGGGACAAAAAAAACCCAAAACATTGTTATATCTGCAGTTCACACTTATAATTTAACCCTAATAAATAACTGTCAATAAATATATCGTGAATAAATATATCCCGTTTTGACATGTTATGACAATCCGTTGGTGACAAAAAGTACTGTAAACATTGTTGCGCACAAGGGCGCACAGACTGTAGCTTGCTGCCAAATTTTACGCAACGATGAAACACTGACTACGCAGGGAGCTCGTAGATTCCTGACAAAACAAACCCCAAAGTGTCATATATTGCCGTGTCAGACATTTTGTTAGCTACACATCTATGGTTTTAGATTTAGTGTCAGGGTTGACCAAACAGATATATTCGAGAAAGCTTGGGCGGAAGTGCAAATTAGCTAAGTGACGTTCTCTGGATATTATTGGCTCAGGAAAACCCCTTTTATGACAGGATTGGTCGAATGTGGTGTCAATCAAAATGGGAGGGTCTAGGCTGCCATATAAAAACGTTGTAATGGCGGAGAGTGTGATTTTTGAAATGCTATGAGGCTGCAAACCCAGAAGAAATAGCAGTGTCCCGTGGACGGGATACTGTTAGATAACAGGCTTGGTTTAATACGTAAATAAATTATGCTAATTTTTTTATACTCTTAAAATCTTAAACCTAAATAGAGATGAAAATTTCTCTTCACTTCATTTAAAAGGTATAACTGGTTAAATCTTGGCATTTGTTTGACAATAATCAATAAAAAAAACAGCAATCACTTTCAAAAATGACTGGGTTTGACATGTACAGTGCAGGATGTGTGTATGTTGGTACATAAACCTCCAACAAGGAGCCCTTCTATTTGGGAGTGATGATTACGTTGGAATATGGCTGATGGTAGTCCATGTGGCAGAAGGAACACATAATTATGTGATGTTGGATAAATAGGGCCGAGGAGCAGCTGAGTTGGTGGAATTGAGAAAGGAAAGAGTGAGAGTGAGGAAAGTGTCAGCGATGAGAACTGCACGTCTTTTACTGTCGTCCTCAATGGCAGCAAGCATCACTCACACGTAATTTATAGCCACCCCTGGCAAAGATCCTCCCCCTTTTCTAACCGGTTCGAGTTGTTTGTAAACTCTAAATAAAAAGGGATACTGGTCAGATAGCTGCCTTTCTCATCTGCACTGCAAAGCAATTGCTCCACTCTTCTCGTGTCTATCCCCATCTAGTCAAACTCATTGCACAGATGAAAAGCGCACCCTCTCTATCAATCTCCTGCATTCACATTTCTGTTTCTCATCGCTCACACCTTTTTTATGTCTTCTCCTTTTCTTTTATTTCTGCCTATTGTCTCTCGCTCCCTCCTTTCTCCTCAAGAGCAGTGAAATGTTTTTTGATAGGTAATTAAGCAAGAGACATAAATGCTTCCTATATGGAAAAGGACCACGGTTAAAAGAAAGAGAGTGGCAATGGACCAGAGGGACTGAAACACTAGTGGGTTGCGTTGGCAGCTGGTGGATGGATTTTATCAGTCACCTGAGACTGACAAGCATTGTAGGCCAATCTTTCTTGGACTTGATAGCATTGTATCTCATCGCATTGCAGTGTCAGTCTGACAATACAAGTGGGATGTATCTATGTTGGAGCAATTTCGCTAACTTTTCATATGGCATTCAAGGAAATAGATATATAGATGTAAGCTTAAGTGAAAAGAACCATTCTCAATTTCAAGTACATCACTATTATCTAAGGGCATGGCATTACATGAAGGAATGCATATTGTTCATTCAGAGTTGTTGGGAAATGATGAAATTCTAGTTGTTTTGGGCAAACCTTGAAAAAAACAAAATGGTATATGGACTGTACTTACCATATATAGTGCCCTTCTATCTTATCAAGATACTCAAAGCACTTTACACTACAGCCTGTGCCCTCATTTACCCCAACACACACACACACATAAAGTACATACAGCACTCTATTACATCTCTACAAAGCTAAACAAATCATTCTAAAGAGACTAATCTGTGCTTTAGATCACAATCATACATCGATGGCAAACACATCCGAGGCAATGAAGGGTTCAGTGTGTCTTGCCCAAAGACAATTCAACATGTGACTGCTGGTGGGATCGAACCACCAACTCTCTCACTGGAGGACGTACACAATACAGTTTTGCTGAGTCATGGTAGAGTGGAAAAGTAAAAAGAGTACTGCAATTCCACAGTGAAAGAAAGACCAAAGCACACCACACAAACATGTTTGGAGAGGGTATGGCTTAAACGTAGTACTACAAGTAGACATAACAAGTATTAAAGGAAAAGACAAAAGTACAAAACATAAAAATAGAAATATGACCAGGAGTGACTGTAACAGGCTGCATATACTTTGGCACATGCACAGAAAATTATATAAAATAATATGTGGCCCGGTGATGAAATTGCAACCTGTTCAGGGTGTACCCCGCCACACCTCTGGCAAAGTGATAGCTGGACATGGGCACCAGTGACCCATGTGACCCAAAAAGGAAGAAGCAGGTAAACATAATGGATGGAAACTTAAAATGATATACATATTTATTTTTGTTTTGGCTGCTCCCTTCTTCAGGGGTCACCACAGGGAACTAAGTCACATAAAGACATGGCAGTTATTTTTATGCCGGATGCCCTTCCTGACGCAACCACAGCCCTCTGTGTGAAGCAGAGAGCTGCTATCTAAGACACGCAGAGGAGCAGATGGTGGGGGTTAAGGGCCTTTTCTCAAGGGCCCAGAGTGGGATGAATGAGGGTGGGGTCAGGTGTGGGTGCTTCACCTACCCCACCCACAATTTTTGATCTTGTCGGTGCCGGGGCTTGAACAGGCGGTCTTCTGATCACAGGCCCACCTTCTCTAACCTCTGCACCACCACTCCCCCATATATATATATATATATATATATATATATATATATATATATATATATACACACACACAAATACACATATATATATATATACACAAAGTACAAATCTCAGTCATTTTCAAATGCATGCACTCAATTCTTTTCTTCTTTTCTAAATAAAAACTGTTCAAAACTGCTTTGAAAAACAACATATTGTAAAAAAGAAAGACCTTACATAAAATATAGCAAGTCACCAACAAAGGGGCTGTTACCATTACAACACCAGCAGTGACTCTAATCAATACAATAGGATGCTGGTCCACTTATCAAACTTTAGGCAGCCAATGGAAAGCACACAGGTGGGCATAACAAAGCCTGTGAGATTGTTTCCACCTGCGAATGTGCAAATTACATTGATGGGCACAAAGGAAATGTGGTCCTAAAGCAACATCCATATCACTGACAATCCCAAAGCTAATATGGTATCAGTGAGGCCCCATTTAAAAATCAATGACATCCAAGCTTCTCAAAGTCTTTGTGTATCTCGTTTATATAATGGCTTGTGTGTGTGTGTTAATAGCTGAAGTGTATGAGGAAGAGAGGCTGAGGATATTCTCCTGTGTGGGGGCAGAGAGACGAAGGTGAGCATGTAAGCCAGCTGAGGGAGATTTGATGAAAGACTGCAGGGAACATGGAGCAGAAAAGGGAATGAAATGGGCAGGTGAACTAATTAAAACATGATTTGTTGATGTGATGCCAGAGTGGCCTCCCAGCTGCTAGTTACCATTGACCCAATGGCTGACAGACAACCTGCCCCACCCAGCATCCCAAGAGCCTGTCAGCTCATATGCTGGTTCGAGCTAGATATCCTTAGCACGTAAGCTTCTATTGTTTTTGTGGAAGATAAATTTAAAACAAGTAATTAAATTCCTGTAGAATGGGAACAGAAAGGATGAAACAATTTATTGTCAAAGTCTCTTAAGTGCTGTAAAGACTATGCCAAGTTACCACTGCTCCACCCCTTGGCTCAGTATGTCAGCAAAAGCAAGTAGCACAAGTTATTGGTAGTGGTCTAATATGACAGGGAAGAGTTTTAATGATTCATGCTTTTGGCTGTCAGACTGTCAGCAGTGCTCCCTTGGTAAATATGGCTTCCCCAAATCCAATTAAGGTTGCTCCAATTCCCAAGGCTACCAACGTGCACTGTTTTCCCTTACAGCAATTTTTCTCTGTAAGCACTGTAAAATCATTTGTTTTTGTGTTTTTTTTTTCCTGATATGTGCAGGACTTGCATGAGATTTGTGACAACTGCATTCCAAAAATCATCTACGCATCATATTAACTAGGGACCCTGTGATACTATCATTGACACGAAACACTGCAACTAAAATTGCATTATTTGTCTCCATCATACTCATATATTAGCGTTATTGGAAAGAATGCTTTACAGTACATATAATAATGTCTTACGTGAAACTCCTGACCACACAATTCAGGCGTATTCAAAAGATTTAAAACCAAGGATTCAAGGTTCTTTGTGTCATTTATTTATTATGATTGATTGAAAACATTTTATACTGTATGGAATAGATTGCTAAAAAAATCTAATAGAAATATTATCTTAATAAATTGCATGTGTTCAAGAGAAGAGAGTGAAGTACATTAAAGGCAGAAAAATCAAAAAATGTCTACGTTTTTCCATAATTCCATAGTCACAGTCCCTTCCTCCAATTCCACATACCAACAATCTTTTACACGCACTAACAAGCACTAATAGAAAACTTCCACTGTTTATTAACTGGTAATTGACTGGCGCTGGCGCTCCCTCCCAAATGCAACTCCACTGCCTAAGGCTACAGGCAGGACAGCCGAACAGTCAACTGACAGTCACCTAGAAATTGATTATATCCAGAACTTTGCAGGCTCTTGCAGGTGATCATACCTGAAAAGCAACTAAAGTTGTACTTTGCAAAGTTACGGCTCAGGTTACCAAGTTAGAATTTGATCATTAAAAACCATACATGGTCTTATTGCTACATGATAATTAAGACATATTTTTTAATAACATTTTTGTTCATTTGCATTTTTTCAACCGATTTGAATTTTAACTATTAAAGTTACATAAGAGGGAAACTTAATAAAA